GAGTCTGTACAGATAAATATATGCACCCACTTTTCAATTTTAGAACTGCCAAAAAGAGACGGTGCAAAAGTGAAACAAAAGGTTTGTACGTATAAGAATATCATTAAGAAAAACATGCATGTGAAATTAGCAACAATATTCTTAATGCTGTACTCTCCTGACATAAAAGATAAGATACCCGACAAGAACACCAGATAGACCCAAATATACACAATGCAAGTGTAGCCCAAATAGTTTTTGTGCTGTACAGTCCTTTGAATGTAGCAGTAATCTGGATTGCGAATAATATTAAGCTTTTAATTAATTCTAACTCCCTACCTTTTTTTTGCAGCTGTTTCAGAAGACAATGAAGGATCCGCTGATGGAGGTATGTAATGCATCTTTATCTGTTAAAATAAAGAAAAACAGGAGCACTGAATGAAGCTGGACACAGTTTTCATGGTGCTTTTTAACAAGTCATCAAGTAAATGGTTCTTCCTCAAAGTCAATTTAGTGAAACGAATAGAAAGGTTTTATTTAAACTGAGATTCAATTAAACATTCAACTTAGAGATTACACCCATATGCAACAACAAAGAACAAGTTTTGTTCCTTTTATTTTGAAAGGAATTTTTTTGTCCTTGTCCTTAGCTTGTTTCGACATGTGTACCTTGTCCTTGTTGTTGTTTGTTACTTCAGGTTAGTTGAGTGGGTCCTTTAGGCCATGGATTAAGTCATTTACAGATGTCATGTGATTTCATGTCAAACGGAATAGCCTAAAAAACACACCTTTCGTAGATGTTGGATTCTCAACCATCTCCACATTTCTACTCACGTTACACAAGTGCACAACATGGTTGCATGGTTTTGTGTGAAGCCTCTCACTTGAAACTTTTATACTTCATGGTTTTTCTTCCTGATTTTCAGTTTTGTTTGTTACTTACAGTTTGTTTGTGGGTGTTTTTTTTTTGTTTTCAATTTTGTTATTGCCTTTCAGATGGGTTATTGTTTTCTGTGTGCAATATTGATTCTTGTTTGTAGTTTTCATTTTTTTTGCTGTGAGAGCTTTTGGTCCTAAACTAACTTCATAAAAACCTCAATCAATAGTGTTGCTAAAAGATGAAAGGTGTTGTCTATATCCTGACTATTGTACAGTAGAAGAACTCTATTATTATTATTATTTGAAAGAGCTCACATTGAAGAACATGTATTTCTGTACTGTGTGTTCAAGCAGCTGATTTCTCCTTACCTCACAGATCCGAATGATGATGATGAGGACTATGAGTCAAAAGGTGAGTTTATTACCTCTGTTCCCAAGAGTGGATTGAAGGGCAGTAGGATTTTCTAGTTTGTAATTATCGCCAATAAGTCAGCATTGTGTATAGGTTGCTCCAGTCCAGTGAAATGTGTGGGTCTGTGGCCCCTGTTGGCTTTCCCTCCTTCCAACCATTAAGCCCTGAATGGAATCAATTAGCTCCCTGGAGGGGTTCTGTGGATTCTGCTGAAAGGCCAATGAACAAGTCGACATCTCCACCATCCTGCTGGTCAGCTAATCAACATTGGCATTCTCATTCTCTCTCCACGCCTCTCTCCGTCGCTCCTCATCTTGGTTTTGATGGACACTTGATAGAATTACAGATCTGTTTAGAACAGGGCATGTCGGCTCCTGGAGAAGCATCCTTTGAGCAAGAGCTACGGTTTTTCTGAAGCCTCTTTGGAGACGCAAGCTCATGCCCATATACTTAATTCCATTCCTTCTTCTTTTTGCCACCTAGCTGTAGATCAGAAACTTGGCTCAAGTGAATCTGCAGGTGGAAAAGACACACCAGGTGAGAGACGTATTTCAATTAGAATTAGCAATATACAGTACATGTATAAAAATGTAGAATACATATCAACAAGGATTTGTAATATCAACTGATATCAACTCGCCTTACTTATCTCCTTCTTTTAGAACATTTAACCCTGATTATCATCGTTGTAGCTGTGGCGCTGTTGACTCTTTCCGGTGCTGCGATAATCAGTAAGTATTCTGTGTTTTGCTTTGACATAAAGTTGTTTAATGTGAACTCATTTCTGTTTCATTTCCACAGTTGACAAATGCACCGCTGTAAAGCCCCTCGGTGCATGACTGGAATCTCTGTAGTCCCTGTGTGCCTTGTAAAGCTGTTAATACCTAAGCAAATATGAACTTTTCTCTTGTGTAGCCGTGACCTTTTTTCATTTTTCTTTCTTGCAGCTGTACTGCTGGTAAGACGCCACATGCACAATCGACAGCAAGGGTAAGGTCAAATTTCTCCACTTTAAAGTTTATATTTGAGAGATGCACGTTCCACTTTATGCTAAGTCAGCCTGCAGGTGACAGAACCAGTCTGGTGGGTAACAGCCTTTCTGCTGCCTTGCCAATGAACCCTAACTCGTCCTACAGCATCAAAATCAGAGAAAAACACTTGGGTGGAAAAACTTAACTGGCATCCACCCATCTGAGCCTGTCTGAACTTGTACAGTAATCAGTGTCACAGCCTGAGGCCCTCCACCACCACCACTGAACACTCCCCGCCTCTAACCCCTCCCATGTTAGCCATCAAACAATAGCCTTGAGACAGTGCCACTGGGTCTGTATGAACGAATGGGACAGGACCTTACTTGTCCCAAAGCTTACCTCATGAACTGAGGCCTGAGTAGATGACTCTGCTCAGAAATTAAAAAAACAATCCTGTAAACATGACGCTGGCGTTATGACAACAATCTGCCAACAGCACTCAGACATCAGAACAGCCAAAACCAGTTATACAGAGACACGCCCTCTCTTTGCTTTTAGCAACCATTCTATACCTTGTGTATTTAACCACAGTTTGCTAGCTAGGAAGGCTTTCTGCAGACCAATCATCAATTATTTTGTGCTGGGGTGCAGTAGTAATACATAACCTGCAGGTCGAGTTTAGAGAGGTTACGAATTTCAAGTTAGTCCCCCGAGATCTCCAAACAGCAGAAGAACAGCCATTGTGGAGCAGATGCCCAAGACAATCTGCAAGGGTTAAATTCCTCTGCAGGATTACTGGCTGCCTCCTGGGGCTGCAGTCAGCTCTGGCAGTGTTTGGTGCTGACTGATCGCTCTGCTGAAAAGAGGCTTAATCACACAGCAACCTCTGGCTTGTTGGATCAACAGCGCCTTGCCAGATTTATAAGTCCCACCTGGGGATGAGCTGTGTTTTGAGGTGGTGCAGTCGCCACGCACCTGTCAGAGCCCTGCAAATGAGGCAGACATGTCGTTTCCTGAATTCTGACACGCAGAGGTGTTTCTTGTGTCTTTCTGCTAACAAACTGAAAAAGAGCCTAAAAATATCTTGAAGATGACATACTTCTGCCCTGCCCCCCTGCCCCCCCCCCCCCACAACCCACCCCACCCCCTCTCCCTGCATTCCCTTCCTGTGGCCTGTCCTACCTCTGTCTCTCTACAGGAACTACTTCGTGCCTGCAGAGCAGGACCAGAAAGGGGCCGTCTAGTTCTTGGTGGAGTAGCAGTCTCAATAACAGACAAGAGAGGAGCCATGCACAGGGCTATGCCATCTCCAACTCTCCTGACTCAGACAGTTAGACTTATTTGCACAACAGCCTGCTTCTCACCTTTCAGTTCATTGCTCGCTCTAATCAATACAGATGCAATATTGTTTTTAACCGTTGTATATGCTTGTCTTTGTCCCAGCCGTTTATGCTCCACATATACACAATTTATCGGGGGACATTTGGAATGCATTCAAACCTTCTAATTGGATTCTATTTGAGGAATCCAAATCAAAGCCAGTGAATATGGCTTAAAGCTTCTTTTGTTAAAAGGGATAATTTAGCACAGCCAGAGCTCCCCATCTTTTACTACCTGAAACAAGAAATTATTCCCACCAGCTATGCAGTGAAACTACATTTGCGTTTGATTTGGTGCATATGGAAAAGACCTGTCTGTGTGAAAATGGTCGATGACTGAGACAAACCATGCTAATCCATGCTAAGGCAGGTTAGTGCTCACTTCATTCTTCAGATTCACTTGTCTGACACCTTCTGTTCCTGGCCCATTAGCAATGACAGGAGGCAGTGCAAAAGCAAGATAAAAACTTGTTCCCCCTCTTCTCAACCTCAGTAAAAAAGAAACGGGTGGAAATGGCCAGTGTGAACATTATTGCAGGCTAGCAAATTAATTGGCCGCAATGAATGATGATGTATTCTTTTCCCCCTCTCTGTTTCATTTTGAAAGGCGTTCACTTTAGTCCCGCAGATTGTAAATACAGAAGTTTTCTACTGGTAGAAAGAAGCTGTGTGTGAGTGAGGGATAAAATCCCACAAATCAATTAAAGACGGAGATGATTGGGGAAAATACCAACAATGCCTTTTGTTTCATTCTTAGAGCATGATGGCTTCTCTGTTTTCATTTAAATGGAAATCAATCATGCCCTGTGAAAGAAAGCTTTCTGTCCAGGAACCTGAGGCACTGGTTGCCTTATTTGTTCCAAATCAGAGAAGGGAACTTTCTGCAGCAAATGTTAAAGGGGAATGGGACCTGCTCCTGTTCAACAGGACAGTATTTCATTGATGGCTTCATGAGGACACTTATAATGGAATAAGCAACACAGGGAATGGCTACATGGGGTCAAACACTAGATTTGTCAAAGCAGGATCTCACTTTGCTTCCACTAAATCTTGCAGCTAATCTCGGCACTGGGGACAGGTTTTGGCTCCAGTCCAGCCAGACTTGAGAGCAAAAACAATTGTGTAGTCACGTCCTCTTCAGGTTGTACAGTAGCTATAGATTTGTGCTGGGGCTTTGTCTTAAAAATGATGCATCCCAGTTTATTAAACATAAAGAAATTGGTAGATGTGATTATTGTTTGTGCATTTGTTTTACTGTTCGTATTTGAGCAATGTGTGTACAGTATGTGTATGTAAAAAGCGTAGCATTGCCCGATAAGCCTTCAATATCTTCAGCATTTCAAAGGGAGTACAATTGAACAAAAATTTCAGCACAAAACATTTCAGTTTTTCATATCATGTTTTTATGTTTTTAGTCATATTCACTTTTTTCTGTTGGACAAACAAACCACAATTGAACATTAGAGCAGAGATTTCTCTTTCAAGGCCTTATTTTGACAAATTGAAGAAAGCAAACACACTGCAGATAAATGCAGTATTTGGTCCAGCCGGCTCCAGCATATGTGACCAAACTCTACTCAATTATTCTTTTCTGTAAAGCTTCTCTGCTGTGACACTACTCATGTTAATAATGTAACAAATGTCAATGCTGAGTTTTTTTTTTTTTTCTCAACGCGATGTATGCTTAGATTGAGGTTACGCTTTTTCTTTTCTCCCCTTTTTTTAAACTGGCTTTTTCGGTGCATGCAGGCTACAGCAGGAGTACAGCGTCCCTGACAAACTGACAAAACTCAAGCAAATGAAGAAAACATCTTCATCAATGTGAATAGCATTTTAAAAAAATGCAACAAATACAGAAAACACAACCGAATACTAACTACACAGGTGCACTATAGGGTGCAGAACGCCACTAGGTGTGTCTGCAATGACCACCGCTGTATTGTGTGATTGAATGAATACAACCCACAATTGGCTAATCCCCCAGTGTAGACACCACTAAGGTGTTGTAAAACACATTTCAATGAAACTCAAAAACAAGCTGCAATATATCCAAGCAATCGGCTCGAAGTGGTCATATAAAACATGTCGTATAATCTTTCCAAAAACAAAATTAAACTCACAAAACTCTCTACGACTTGCAACACTCTTGTATTTCGTTCTCTGTAGCTTGTTTCTGTATTTGGTCGTTTTCTAGCTTTGCATTTGTTTTCTGAATGCGCATGTATAAACTGTTTTCTCCATTGCTTGTGTCTTGTCTAGTAGCATGTGTTTTCTGAGGTTGCACTGCATACAGCTTTCAGAACCACCGCACTAAAGCTCTTATCAGACCTTACGCAGTTATTCTAGTTTTTAATATATTTTATGTATTTACAGACCTAAATATTTGTATTGTGTCTCTTAATAGAAAAATATTATATTTGACCAAATGGTCTTTTTATACATGTGTTAACTGGTGATGTTTTCTCTCCGCTGTTCATTTATAAATTCTGTGTAAAACATGTTGTGGCGGGTGGGAGTCAGTTATTTTCCAAAAGCTTTCTTATGTAAAATATTTGTATTTGTGTCATATTGCAGCAAATGTTGGACTTAATGTTGAATACATGTTTGTATGCACTTGTGTGTCCAGATGAACCCATACTGTATGTATTATTTGTGCCGGTGGCATTCCCATTAGTTTTTCATTATAGAATTATTTACAAAGTATATAATACATAACCATCTAGCTCACAAAAAACAATTACCATATATCATGAATCGATTCTGTTTTCACTTCTACGCTCCTTAATTTTGTTATGATAGCAATTAGAACAGTTAATACTATTGTACATCATATACAGTAAGTATAAACTCTGTGTTGCTTTTGACATTAAATCTGTGATACAGTGTGTTCGTTTTTTCCCAGTTTATTGTCTGCATCATTTGATGCCATATGGATGCAATGATAATGCACCAGTGGATCCTGTTTAATCTAGGGCTTTACTCACTTACAAGCATAGAGCCACTAAGAGGCTTAGACACCCCTGACTAAACATCACGTTTTTGTTCAGATTGAAAGTGTAAAGAGCGTGTAGTATCTATCAGAAGGAGGAAGTGACCCAGCTTCAGTCTTAGTGTTGTGCCAGATTGTCAAGTATGGGATGTTATGGGTTTATTCTTCACAACCTTTAATAATAATCCTGGCTGTGAGACACAGCCTATGGCTGTGTTATCAGTTGTAAGATAAAAGGTCATTGGAAACGAGCCTGCTTCTTGGCTGAAGGTGTGATTAAAATATGAATCATCTCCTCATTATTTGCAAAGAGAAATAAGCCCTTTTCAGTGCAGTTTTGCACAGTATAGAAATGATGTTAGACAAAGATTAAGCAGGTGAGGGTTCCTTTTTTTCACTTGTCAGCCTGATTCATGTTTTCTATGTTTATTGAGTGTTTTCATATGACACTGTTAGCAAGCAGCATACAGTCTACATTCACACATATGATGCCAGATTTTCTCTTGATGGACTCCTGGTTGGTTTCTTACAGCTCTGTACTTTTATCAATGAACATATGCTCTCTCTCTCTCTCTCTCTCCTTATTCTTGGGCCACTCGATATGATCTGGAAAATAAACACACAGACCCGTTAAGGAATCAAACAGTATTCAAGCAATCAATTTTATTTATCCAACACAAACACACCACAGTAAGGAAAATAAACAATGCGCTTTGCAGTTTTTCTGTTACGGTTTCGCCCAACAAATAGCTTAATCGTAATCTTTTTGATCTATTAATCATCAGAGATTTTAGTCAGCATTCTGTTGAGCTATTATATGTCTGAAATGAATGATTGTTTGCAATATATCATCCAGTAGCCTGTGATATAAATTACTTAAATCATTCAACTGCAGTTTCCCCGAGAGCGTGATATAAGCACGGATACCCTTCATGCACATGGACTGTAATTTAGACTGTCTGTCAGCTTTCATTGTCTTAAATTATTCAGCACTTGTGCTAATCATGCACCCCTCAAACAGTGCAAAAATACAGAATTTGAACATTCACTAGCATGAATGAAATAAAAAAGCGGTAAGTACTTACTTTGGTGAACTTTTCTGACATCTGAAAAGCCGACAGGCCCTGCCACCTACAGTTAGAGATAAGCAAAATAGTGAGAAAGGCAGTTGAATATATAATTACGGTGCTTCACAAAAATGTCTTTCAGAGTCACACTTACAGCCAATGACCATGATGCCCAACATGAAAAGCACTGCTGCAATAGTCAGTCCAGCGATGCGCAGGGATTTATAATCTGGACACATAAAACATGAATCAAACACTCAACCATAGACGCAAAATGAAAGAAAACAAAAATATAAACAGTCAAATGGCGCTTCTCACCATAGGTGAAATCTTCATCCCACTTCGGATCTATAAGAAGTAAAAGTGGAATGGAAAGTATTGAATTAAGTTCGACTGTTGAACACAGGAAGCTACAAGAAAAAAGAGAGAGAGGATCACCGGGGAACAACAGTCAGAGATAGCCTGACAGATCTACTGGCCCCGCTGACATGCTGCTGATGGTGTATCAAAACCCTATCTATGGCAAGCCAGCACAGCATGAGGACACAAATATCGTATCTCTTCTTGCGTAAGGTACAATCAAGCATTAATCTGTTGGCAAGAGAGGAAGTGAGGTGCTCTGTTCTACCACTCTGCCATGGGCTTTGTTTGGAAGACAGGGAATTATGATACTGTCAGTCTGCCATGAGATAACAATAAAACTGCAATGCCTGTGGCATTTAAGGTAACTATGGAGTAGTAAAAATTTTTGGTACCCCAGGCAACTCCTTTTTTGGTGGTTTTCACAGTTATGGATGGGGAGGATGTCACGGAGGATGCTGAAAAATATAGACAGTGAAAACATTAGTTTCCTTTGACTTTTTTCCCCTTTTCCCTAATAGAAGTCATATGGTTCGTAATGCAAAAGCATAATTTCATATATATCGATATATTTGTTTTGGGACCTATTGACTTATCTTATCTTTGCCATACGAGTCTCTACATAATTCCATTCAGGTGCATTCCTATGTTTAACTCATTATTTTAATTGACTTTTTAAATATTTCAGTGGAATGGCTCTCTTAGGAAACCTTTAATGCGTATCGGTGCGCTCTCTGTCGCTCTCACTCTTGCGCTCTCCTTTTCCCCGGTCCGGTAAAATGCAACAAAAAAACTCCTCTTTATATCTTAATAAGTACAGGGAGTTTAACATTTTCTAATTACCTCATAATTAGTTTTAAAGGGAGAAAACTTAGGGAAAGCCTTTGCTATTGATGTGAGGGGATGTTATAGCCAAACTCAATGGCTTCCACCGACTGGGTGTTCAAATATGTGAGGGACATGGTGCAGATTGTTACCTGGAGTGGGTGTGAACTTTGTTTTTGGTTTTGTTGTTGGAGCTAAAAGGGACAGAAACTTAACAATTACATCAAGTTGAATTGAATTATTATGGGTTTCACATATACAGCACACCACCAGCCTACCTGTTGAAGTGTTCATCTCTGATGAGGTGGTGTGGACACTGACTGGGTTGTTGGTGCTAATGTTCTTGTTTGTGGTTGAGGAGGAGTCAGCATCTCTGGTGACTCTGCTTTCCACTCTTCTTCCTGTTACATCAAGAAAGCAACTGATTCACATGAAAACGATACTGAAAAGGAGATAGCCTCAATACCGAAGATGCTGCAAAGTGGCATTTCTCCGGATAGCCACGAATGCCGTACCAGTAAGAGTTGGAGCGGCAGGCATTGTTGTTAAGTTCGCCATACTGTTGCTCACAGACTCCATTTGAACTGCGGGTGTGGAAGTCTGAGCCCTTGACACTGCATGCGAGGGAAAAAAAGACACATTTCAATCACCAAAAACACAAGTCAGATGAAGCCTCACAGCGAGGCCTTGATACAGTAAACTTTACAGGAAGAACAAAGAGCAGTGTTGTTTACCACTGTGATTTTCTCAAACAATGCTGTGATGTATTCCTGACAGAGGCCAGACTTGAGAATGTCTGGCCATGCCGGCGAGAGAGGCCCCGCAGATGTACTGAGAGTATGTCACAGTTAAAGTCCTGTGAGTGCCGCACACACAAAGAAGTGGCTCTTTACAAAACCTCTGGCTACAACAGAGGTGGATTGTTGTGTGAGACTGCGGGACAGAGAGGCTGTTGTCTGTTTACTCTCTCAGCACCTTCCAATTAATGCTGGAGCTCTACAAAACCTCTACTTTCTTAGGCTAATGCTGTGATTCCAACTATTTTGATGAACCCATGTGCCTGGACCGTGACTAAAGGTCTGCAGTAGATGTGTCAGATATATTGTGTGGATGAAAACCTTAATTTGGATAGTAGTAAACCTTTTATATTACTGTCATCTACAGTTCTAAGATGTTTAGTGTGAGCTTATTTATCCCTCATCTGGACTGAGATGAGGGATAAGCCTTCAGTCTTCTAAACCCACATTATAATGTATACTCAGTATTCTTAGAAGTTATTACATTATCCTACCTTTTTTCTTTTTTTTTTTTTTACAAAAAAACCCCCTGATGACAACATACATATGGGAATTTACCCATACTGTGGGCTCTGCAGGTCTTCAAACTTCATGACACTTGTAACTTGTAATACTTAATTTTAGCATTTATGTTTTAGCATAGCATTATCTTGTTGTGACTTGTGATCAAAGTGGCTTCTGTTGCATAGTTACATAGTTACATGGCCTCGCGCTAAACTCAACGCACTCACCTTTAAACGTGACAAGCAGGAAGAAGGCCAAGTGGGTAAAATAAATCTAAAAGACAAAAAACAACAACATTATGAGTAGAGGAGATGACACAATGATGCAGACAAGTATAAACCAAGTTGTATCTCAACTGGTGTTTTAACAAGTTGAATTTCAACTTTTATCACAACTAAGATCTGCAAAAGTAATTCGGAGCCCCTCAAATATTATAAGTGACTCCATAAATGAGGAAAGGTCATAATACTAGAAATGCAGACATTGGATCTGTTGCAGAGGATTGGAGCAGATACACAACATACAGACAAAACATGTGCTCATGAGCAGACAGACAGACACAGTTTATTCCCATATCTTTAGCCACAGTTGTGATGTTACAATTGAAGCGAGAGAGCATTCACTTTGGAACATGTTTTGCAGTGTAAATCTACCAGACAGAAGGTTGCACTCATTGCGGTTTGGCACCACATGGCAACCTCTACTTCCTCCTCAAGCACACGGGCAACGTCTCCCACACTCCTCACGCAGCATGACAAAAACTGATTCCTACTTTGAATGTCAAACTTTAGAAGACACACATATTTATTTATTTTTTATTTATTCATTTGTCAAAAGTGAGTGATTGAGGCCGCACATTGCGTTTGCTATCCTCCCACACATGTCTGTGTTGAACTTTGTGGCACTATTGATCAAACTTCAATAACAAAAAGTTTGCTACTGTCACCAATTAAAAACTGGTATTGGAGGACATGTCAAAACAACTCCTTTTACCGTAATGGAAATCCTGTAGGCCTACTGGTGAGCGACGTACTCTTTCCTCCCCCTCACAACATGTTGCCCCTAGCTTGAAACAAAACACTATAGACAAACAGAAGTAAGCAAAAAGCTGTCCGATATTGCATGATTTTATAGCAACACAGAGAACAACAGCTGCCAAGCAGCTACATACAGCAGAGGCAGGTAGAGTGACGGATAGAAGTCTGGGCCAGTGGCTCAGTTTGAATCCACCCCCAGCAGAAAATGAATCTCGATCTTTGACCTATCCTGGTGGCAGGTCATCCTCCGGGCGTGGAACAGTATGACAGGTGAACGTCTGTGGCCGTCATGAGCTGCGACAGCTCAGATTAGCAGGTCATGCCAATCTTCATTTCACTCCAGAGCATATGTCAAGATGAGGCCTGTTTCCCCTGGGCTGTACAGGCGTCTTTCCCTTCCCCTAGCCTGACCTGCCTGCCTGTTTGTCACATCTAGCACTCTAACTCACTCTCTGTCTGTCTGTTCGTCCGTTTGTCTGTCGTCCTCCATCAATCTCTCTTTAGTATGCCTCACCAAAAACACCCCTTAGCCCTCTGATATTTAATGATCCATCCAGGCTATTATGCTTACCTTGGTATCCATTCTGTGAGGGGCTCGAGTCCAGAGATTGTTCCACATCCTCATCATCCACGGTTCCTTCCTGTGTATGCCACTTCTGAAACGCTGCTAACCAACCACACCCATGTGCTCACCATCAGTACTTCCCCATTCAATTGTCGAACTCCGTTTCAGTCTTTCAGTCTCTCGCTCACCCACTCTTTCTCGTGACATGGCCTTTTCCTTCTGTGGCTTCCAGTCTTTCACCCTCCCTCGCTGTTCACAGTCTCTCAGCCCGGCAGCTTCTCTTCCTAATTTATTTCTGTTTCTTTATAGTACACTATCTTTTATTGTGTGTCTTTGCCTGTCTATTTCTCCAGGCTCATACAATCATTTATGACCATAAGTATATATGCGTCATCTTTGCTGTGTGTTGTGTGTTGCTGTGTCACAAACAAGAAATGAATGACCTTGTTGTAGTGAGAAAATGTTGATATACTGACAAATGCAGTACAAATTGGAAGCATTTTTGCTTCCTGTGAATGGTGAACAGTTTAATAAAATATCCTCCCTTTAAAACGTTAACATTGAGGATGTTCTGAAATGCGTGTGGCTTTGAAGAACAATATTCTTTACTTTGATTACCAACTAGGCTAGCATGCAGCCATAGAAGAAGCAATTATATTTCTTGAGTACATCTTTAAACTTAAAACATAAAAAAATGAACACATCTTACTCACTTAAATATGACCACAGAAAACATCAACCAATGTCTTTCACATTAAATTGCACTGAAGGGTTTTTAAGTCACAGTCTTCAACTATTGCTTCAAGACTGCAAGATTGGCGTGTGTGATTTTAACTCAACAGCATTAACCAACTGAAGAGGACAAATCTAGTTGTTACAGCAGACAAAGCATGCAATTCATCCACAATAGCAGAGGACAGTCTTCGTCCAGAGTGCTGTGGATGCTTTTGGATCAGCTTATACTCACAGCTTGTCACATTTCAATAAAGCAATTGTTAACTCTTTTTTACAAGCATCTTTAAAGGTGCTAAATTCCAAATTCAGAGCATGTCTATGATTGAGGGATTGCCTCCACGTGGCTCTCAACATGGCGATAGCTGAGCCGGCGGCTAACGGTGCAAACAACACTAAAGTGCAAACAACAGCAACAGTGCTAAGAGAGCTAAGAGGGGGGAACCAGAGGCAATTTTGTTTTTCCTGTAGGATGACGAGGAAATGATTGGCCCTACTCGCCTCTGATTGGCTAGTATTCACTGCCTTCGATAGTTGGATTGGATAATATAAGAATATCATGGTAAGTCAATCAAGGCAGAGTACACCACATCAGTGACAGAGTAGGGCGGGTCATGCCTTCGCCATTCTAGGAAAAACAAATTTATCAACCGAAGGTGGGCGTCAGTCGCAAAATATAGGACTGTTGACTTGCCCATTTTATGCTTCCAGCCAATCATATTATAAGATTCAACCTGGCAAGTGATAGATAACCAATCACATATGCTCGTACACAAATATGATTAGAAGAACATCAATCTGTAAACACTGAGCATTTTTGTTGATTACAAATCATGAGACGATATTGATTTATGTGTGGATGTAGGTTTACAACTTAACATAAATGTGTGGATTATTTGAAAATACATTTCAGACAGTGATTTATGAATGCAAAAACATTGTGCAAAATGCATTTGTACACTATGTCAGATCAGACATCATGTTTTTAATAATAACAGCTTGTTTTTCTCTTTCTGTCATCTTTATATCCTAGTGTTGGAGTGGGAGTGTGTGCGCATTTAAATGAGTGAGATGCAGAGATGGACGTTTAAAACATGCTTACATATGGGGAAAGAAATTCACCCAGGTTCAAATGTGGCTTGAAAAAGAAAGACATTTTTGTTATGATGAATATACTGTGCACCTTTGTGAAAAGGATACCAGGAGAGTAATGATTGTCTGGATTTGAATTTTGTTTAATAACGCCTGCACTATTTCAAATAGAGAATAATGTGGACTGTATGTGTGCATTTTTTTTAATAATAATAAAAATCCATAACTCAACCTTTTTTCTTGCAATATCCTTGGGCTCTACTAGCATAATCTATTTTTTCTGTGGTTTTATTTTTACTCCTACATTTCCATGGGGTCTGATGCCGATGGCCAGTCATCAAACTCATCTTTAATTTAAGATGCTCTTTTAGTTTCAATGTGCTCTCAGATCTGCCCTTATCAGAATTAATAATTCATTGTTGTTTTCACTTCCTAGCTGACTTTCATGAACCATTGTTATATTTATTCAGTTGTATTCTTTCATCCACATTGGAGGGTAAATTACATCCTCATTACTGACAACATGAGAGAACACCGACAATGTGAGTCATAATAACTGCCAGTAAAATCATGTTCTAATTTGTAAAACCTGTGGTTGCTTTTGATTTGATTTCTATTTAGTTCAAGTGATTAGAATCCAAGTAATGAGAGCAAAGACAGGGTTTGCAGAAATGTGAGTTAAATTTGAGTCAGCTCCCCACTGGTAGCACAACCTGATAAAGGAGCATTATTCAATTTCTTATTTGTTTTCCAAATAAAAAACGTTCAGGAGAGGGGTAAAAAGGACGTGAAAACACTCTGAGAGCTGAGGTAATTAAAGTCTCTTATTTGTTTCTCTTTTGACTTAATTGTGCACTCCTGCAGCCTGAATGATCGAGCCCCCTCGAGATTCTTCTGAACGCATCATATCAAAACATTCATGAGGCAAGTGAGGAAAAATAGAAGTTGATGTACAGCATTGAGCTGTCAAGCCTGCAGTTTAGCAGATTACTGTTCTTGCCTGAGCCGAAATGATGCATCATGAACAGGCTTTGGTTTGAACACAGCAGTCATCTTGACAGGAACTTAAACAATTGTTCAGTAATGAGACAAACATACCTTGACAGCTCATGATGGAGAATAGCGAGCCTAATTGAGGGAACACGGCTCTGTGAAACATTGAGATTTATCTCCAGGCAGTCAGGCCATTGAGGAAGCAGAATATTGCAGGTTGTACAAATATGAGGACAACAACAACCTCACCAGGAATTGGAATATCACCTCTTTTAGTAAATATTTCCTCTGTATTTGACAGTAACAACGCAAAAAAGAGTGACGTGTGAAGGTTGCTCCAGCTAAAGAACAAGTCATTAGGCAGACCACATCCATCTTCATCAAAAATGAAAAAGTGGACATTTCTGTTGGGGAAAAATGAATGAAGATTATACCCTTTTTTTAAATATATATATATGTGTCTCATTGGACTATATGTGTTGCCTGTGCTGTGTTTCTGTGTTTTGTGTGTGTACTCATGAGACGTGATGTGACGAATCGTACTCAGGGGAAAAGCAGAAGCTGGAAGCAGAACTAGGATGCATGCATAACGGCTCTGTGTACAGATGTAAGCCCAGTCGCTATTTACGTAATTTACGAGGCAGCGAGAACCTAAAAGAGCCATGGAAACTTTGAGGAAGTTACTGATCTCTGCACAGGGAACATTAAAAGACAAAGTTACAGAAATACACAGAGCACTTAAGCCTCGTTATTGTCATACAGGAAGACACCATCTATTTTTTCTTGTGTTCTGTAGGTTTTCTGACAGGTGTGGCAGCATCAGTCTACAGCTTAAAACGTACATCAGCAAGAAAGATATATCAAGAAATATTCATTGACCAATACATATTGTATTTCTTGATGATATACTTTTAAGCTATATATGCACATATAAGACATGAGGATGACTGTGCCAATAACATATTTTTCTCTTCTCAAAACAAGATTTTATTTCAGCCACACTAGCAGCATGGTTCCATTGATGGCAATGGTGCCACTTTTGTCCGGAGTGAAATATCTCAACAACCATTAGATAGATAAGAAAGTTGTTCCAAACGGTCATGTCTCCCCTTGACTTTTTTACCTTGCACCATTATCAGGTCAAAACGTTTTTTTCTTGTGTAAAGCAACTTTGGTTTTGTAAAGCTTTCTATAAATACAGATTATAACTATTGTAAACTGTAGGCTGTGGTGTGACACTATACAATGGACTGCTTTTCTTTTAAACACAATTTGAACAATAATGGAAATCAAATGAAGAGGAGAGTAGATCCTTTTTGTAGCAGTAGCCAGAGTAGCAGCTTAGCTTAACCCTCTCTTCCCGATTCTCTTCTTTTTTTCTTTTTTTTTAACTGTCCACTCTCAGTGAGACAAATTCCCTGCACGGTCTCACCCTCTCTCTCACTGATACTGTGAGCTGAACTTCAATCCAAGAGAAAATAGGATTAGAGTCTGGCCTTAGATATGGCTTTACCTCCTGAAGACATAACCATGCTAAATACCACTCAGTACAATCCCATTGCAGGGATTCCCATGGACTAACTGTGAAACTCTTTGTATCAGAGAGGGGGGCGGACGGCCCACTGTTGTCAAGTCCTCATCTGGATACATGTTTGAAAGCGTTCACATTGTATGGGTCAAAAAGGATGATGTCTGATTGGCACTGTGAGTCTGTGCTGCTTCTGACCCAGTGCCACGGTGAGGGGCTGCCCTTCTCCGGGCGAAAAACAGCTTTGTCAGTCCATTTTTGTCTCTAACTGACTGATTCACGTCTACCTGCAGGCCAAAGGAAACTAGAACAAGGGTAAAGGTGAAAGAACAAAGAGAGGAAGATTACAGAGGGAGAATAAAAAAAACTGGTGGCTGGCTTAAGTGCATGGCTTGAGACTTAAATATATATTTTTTTGAAATATTTCTTGCATTGTGATTTGCTTCTGTTTAGCATCTTCGGATTTCCATATTCTACTGTAGGTCAACTTACATCTGAGGAATGTAAAGAATATACACAGAAAAACTGAGAGTGAAATATTGTATTATATAACATCTTACATCAAGCATTCTTCTAGCGCCATTCTACAATTGTGACAGGTATATTCAATGTGACTTGTGAGATACAATTCAAAAGGATTTGTCATTATTATTATCATAATAATAATAATATTATCTGCTATACAACACTGTACTCAATGACTACTGTTGAATCACAAGCCCTGTCATAGCCTATTTGTCTGCTCTGACCTTCTCATTCTAGACTAATTCGCCTCGTAGTTCAAAGGGAAGATCAGACTCTCGCCGCGGTTGTCGAACATCCCTCACTCTCTCAGCTGCCTGCTGAGAGACAGATTGCATCTCAGTTACCATTACTTACGTGATAAGGCTACAGTACATCATCTACCTTTACAATAGATTGATTTTGCAACCCAATTGTGATATCATCAAATGTAAATAATATATCAAAGAGGAGCTATCATCATAGGTTGGGGTTTTGTTTACAGACCTGAGGGTAGGCTGGTAGTCTCCACTCGTTCTTTTGATGAGGCAATCTGTGCAATCTGTGGTCAAACAAGGACGAAGAGGAAGGAAGAGGGGAGGCCAGGATGTCCTGGTATAGAGCCCCGTCTCTCATGTCTTCATACAGATGGCTGTGAGAGTCCACAGGGAGGTCGGTGACACCTTGAAGAGCATATGGAAATGCATACGCAAATCATGAATATTTTGGAAATGAGCCTTGTTTACTCTGAGGTATATTTGTGTCTCACCGAGCCTACGTGTTTCCTCAGGGAGTGGACTGAGAGGCGGATTGTAGTCACCGGTGGGGTAATAATGATGGGAACTTTCCTGAAATTAGCAAAACAAAAGAGAGAGTATAAGATTAGCATTGACCTTTAGTCACATCAGGTAAATGACAAAGCCACATGTGTTGCATCAGTGCAGAGGGGGTTGAAGTGAATTCTTGGAGGGCCCGTTCACAGAAAGAAAGAAAGAAAGAGAGAAAAGGAGAAAGAGAGAGTAGGCTTCTCCCATACAACACAGGTGAATAAACTATGAAAACAGCTGACAGTGAAGTGGAACATTTGGTATTGATAGACGGAGATGTTGTTGTTTTTAATACTGTGATGACCATCTTGCATTGAGGTGCAGGCAGAAATCTCAGGGTCAAATATGTGAAAACTAGGAAATTATGTTTTTTGGTAATTTGACCAAACCAACGCATACCGGTATGTACTGTATTAAATTAGGGGAAAGATAAAGCCTGCCTCCGTGGGGATTTAGGTTTCATTGTACCCCATCCTGACAGCAGCGCTATCTGTTTTCTTCTACCTCGCTCAACAGTTTTCTTCAAGGTTCAAATCCTTGCTGGCCTTTTTAAAGTACAAAATGATAATTTCGCTGAGATCGATGTGCATTTTGAATGCTAATTGTGAGGTATTGATCTGTGTTCCATCTCTATGCACAGCTAAAGGTTCCATTAGTTTATCTAGCCATTTTCCCCGTTATGGCTGAATTCTCCACTTCCTCCTCTGTCAGATCCCTTCACCCCCTGTCTAACCTCTTTCCTCCCCTCATCTGTTTACTTGGCCCCTCTGTGTCGCTGCATATTTTCTCAATGGCTCTTTTCTCTTTGTCTCATCCCGCTCTTTCCTGTCTTCCTCCTCTCTCTCGCTCGTACCGCTGCATAGCTCTCGTAGACATTGCTGTCTGTTTCCGATCCAGAGTCGATGAGGAGGGTGCGCTGGGCTGTGGCGTTGATCTTATCTCTGCTCTCATACTTGTTGGAGTTGCTTACAGTTGACTGACTGGACCTGCATGGAAACATCAGATTGTGTCATTACTTGTACTTTCTTGATATATTTCTCATTTCCTGACTATACCAGAGATGCAAAACACTCAGCACACAGCAACTTTTTTACTGCATACATTCAATTCTTAATATCAGTGCTTCATGTGGCGCATGTACAGGTTTATTGACGGATTGTGGTGCAAGTTTGATGACACTAATATGAGTAGATATTGACAGAGGCTTGTTGTTTTGCGTGCCTGGCGGTTTTAGTTGCTGGGTCAGCCAATAGAGAAGGTCTTTGACTTCTTAAAGTGGATTGGATGTGTGTCTCTTTATTACTTCTACTGAAGGGCCTTAACTTACCCCCCCTTTTCACTCTTCGTCCAATCTAACACACTGCCTCCTCTCTCCCCTGCAGTGAGAACAGAAACAGAAGGGAAAGAGGCTTAGTGATAGGAAATTAGAACTTGAAGAGAAGAGCATCATCTCATAAGCACTGAAATTGATAGGAGAAAAAAAAAGGGCCAGAGAGTAAGAGTGAAAGACAAGTACGCTGTATAAAATATATGTAAAAACCAGAGGGCAGAGGACGGTGAGGAATGAAAAATAAAAGATAGAGAGGGACAACCTGATAGTTAGACTGAAGAACAAATAGAAAGAGACAGAAGGAGAGATGGAGAGAGGACATAACGCCAGCAAATGAGATAAAAGATATGGACAAAACACAGAAGTGACAGCTTTGAAGGATGAATGTGGCAGGAGGTAGAAGCTCAGACAACAGGCAGAAGGAGAGGAGACAGGATAGACAGATAGAAAAGGGGGGACATGGAGAGATGAGAAGAGAGTGAGAGGCTGAGCTGACAATTGCATCATGGCACTGGAGTAATCTCCTTAGAGCTCTGTTGAGGAATAGGGACATTATAATGCCAGAAAGTGATGGAGGAAACACTTTCACATCGGTGGATAAAAAGATCATTATGGTTACCTGTCTGGCCTCGCCTCTTTTTCCACCTCAATCCAAAGAAGCAACCCAGTGAATTAAATACCAGCAGGACTCCAAACGTCACTGTGAACACCACTGTCAAATAGGCTGGCAGTCCACTTGCACCTAGTTTGACAAAACATTAGAAACAGTTTATCTCAATGCCTAACAATCAACGTTAAAACAATAGTAATATGGACATTTTGGGTGGATAAAAAACAGGCCCAACCCCTCTGTCAATTGTCTTTATTGATTAAAGATTATCAGAGGGGGGGAAAGTATGGGTAGGCACCATGACAACTGCTACTCTAGTAGAGCAAACATTACCAGCCTTGGAGGTGCATACATTAACATGATTTAGCCAAATGAAGCTAGCTGCTGTGCAAACAGCAATTTCCAACTGCCCGTAAGTGCTTGTGCTGGGAGTTGTGATAAAGGACTTACTCTGTGAGACTGAGTCATCATCTGTTGGGACTTCTCCCAGGTCTGGCCTCTCTGTAGAGAAAGAGAATGAATAACAGAAACTTACATGCCACACTTCTGCAAAATACACTTATATTCATGTATTACAGATTATCAGATGGCTTTACAGTACAGGCCTTTCGGTGTCAAGCTGGGGTTACTCTAAACTGACCCTTGGTGGTGATGGTCAGTACTGCATTGTTGTCAGCGTAGTCGCTCTCTCCCATTACATTGCGGGCATTGACTGAGAAGTTGTAGGTGGTGACGGGCTGCAGCCCAGTGACAGTGAAAGTTGTTGCTCTGGGAGGAAAGACGTCCATGTACAGGAAACCGGCTGACGTATCCCAATGGTATCTGTCAACCAAAAGGCACTGTCAAGTACAATTATATTATCATGCAAGAATGTCATTCTAACACCATCATTCTGATGCCGGCTGTGGCTCGGGATATGGATCGGTTCATCCACTAATCAGAAGATCTGCGGTTCGATCTCTGGCTCCTCCAGTCTGCATATCGAAGTGTCCTTCAGCATGATAGTGAACCCCAAATAGCTCCCAAATGGTGATAAGCATTAGATTGGATCCAGATGAGCATTTTGGCAACTTCAGTATATGAATGTATGTGTGAATGGGCTGAATGTTGGCATATAATGTAAAGCACTTTGAGAGTTCGTAAGACTATAAAGGTGCTATATAAATGCAAGTCCATTTACAATCCTTCCTAGACATCTTACCTTACACGAAATCTTTGCCACAAACCACCATTGAAGCCGGGGATCCAGTCCAGAGTGACTGAGTCGTGGGAGACGCCGACTTGGCGAAACAAAGAAGGAGGATCTGGTCGATCTGAGGGGGATAGGAAATGATAAAAAAAGCAAACGTGCTCTCAATTTTGTGAGAATACTGAAGAGCGGAACACCTTCACTCGACAGGTGGCTATTTGGAAAGGCTTTAGGTGCTGAGAAATGGAGATGTGTGCCATGAGATAGTCAAGTGATTATATCTGCAGACTCTGAAATAACACCTGAGGCCCTGCTGGCCCATACGAGCGTGCCTCTCTTACGGCCTCTCTGCTTTAGAGCGGTTATAAATAGACAAATTGATATTACTAAGAGAGTGCAGAGCTGATGTTCTTCTTGATTGAAATAGAAGAGGAAAACACATGATTTAAGATATTCTCACATTTCCTATTGGTAGCGTTTGTGTTTGAAAACAGAAATGATTCGTATTAGATCTGTGTATCAGAAGGACCGGTGATAACGGTTTACCTCAGAACAAAACGTTTGATTTGTTGGTAGACTTAGCGCAATCTGTCTGTGACATATGTTTAAGTACTTCAGCATTTTAAATTTGAAAATTGAGTGAAGAAAATTGATAATAACGGCTATTGATAAATAACACCAAAGACTAAATAAAATTCAATCAAGGAGGAGAGATGATCACCATGGTAAAAACTTGTTTTTTAACAGTATATCTCTTCTTAATCACAGTTTATTTCAAAGAACATATTTTTGACAGCACCAGCTTTGCATCTTTTAACAGCGCGCCACTCCTCATCTGCTTTTTCTTAAGGTTGTGCTATGTCGTATGAATGATCAGGAGACATGGGCAGATGGCTGATCCATCTCCGAACAAAGTGCTGGATTTGTCCAATTTATTTGACCGAAGTCATGCAATGAAGGATGAAGCCTCTTGATTATTATCAATATTGTGAATAAAGATCAAAGGAGGCTAAACAGGCCTTCAGTCAGGCACTGCTTCAGTCAGGGTAGTGAGGGGAAAGTGGATTATTTTGCATTTGGAGCATGTAAAAAAGAAGGGTGGTTTTGAGGGCAGAGGGAGAGATAATCAAGGAGAGATAGTTGAGCAGCAACGTAAGAAGGGGATGCTCTACTCGTCTCTGGCTTCAGGCTGCAGCCCAGTTTGCCGAGTAAATAATTCCCACTATCAGCTCTACTCATAAGATTCCCGGGCAAAGAGGTCAGCCTTATTTGGATTTTGTCCATAAAGCACCATACTGAGAAAAGAAAGCCGCTCTCTTCCTCTCGAGCTCTAGAATGATAAGGAAGCATATAAAATCTATTATCACTGCGTCAGATTAATTATGAATATTCACAGCACTAACAAAGTGACTGGGGAAAAACAGGGCCAATATTGGATTGTATTTCATGGTTTTTATAGTAAACATTAAATGTGTCCAATGGTGGCTGTGGGCCTTCGCTGAGAGCAGGACTGTGTTGATAATGGCGGTGGTGCAAGGATACACTGGTAGCTTGAAGGCAGAAAAGTCTAAGCATGCCGGGAGAGCAAAGCCTATCACTGCGGCATTATCTGAGGAGTGAAGTACTGCTATAGGCGAAATGATAAGGCAGCGATAGAGGAATGAAGTAAGTCCTTTAAAGGGCGGACACTAAGGAGCAACAGCTCTCTCCAGTTTGCTTTTTCAGTGGCCCTCCCACACTATTGTAATGTTGCTGGAAAAGGCTGATAAACCTTGGACAAAGCAGCACAGACACTATTATTTTGAGATGCTGCCAAATTAGAACCAAAGGAATAGTTTGTGCTCCACTGCCAAGTCCGTGATGTGCATAATCCCTACATGCTGTGTGCTCTAACCACTGACTGATCATTTGCCGTTCATTTAAAGATGCATTAGGTGATTTTTGACCACTAAGGAGCAGAAAGAGAGGCCTGGCACACAATAATGTAGGTTGAGCAGCAAACTATTCCTTACACATCTACACTATCCAACATACACTCATCTTGTAGCTCTGGTTTACTCCGCTAACTATATCTGTGTCTTTTCTCAGTGGCTTGGTATTACAAGTGACCCCTCTACACAACAGAGTCATTTGAGTCAATTGGAATTTAAAAAAAATGCTTGATGCATTTTTAACATTTCATTGCTGTCTAAAACTATGTGTCCGTGAATTTAGTGATTTTGAAACTATACTGAAGTATCAAGTGGTCCTCACCTGAAATGAGACAGGTTTCTTTTTCTTAGCACATAAAAAGTTGACGCATCAGAGGTACATGGTTTCTAGACAACCTCAGTCACCCAGAGACACACACACACAAAAACCACAAATGTACGAAGATGAAATACTTGTGCTGACGAGCTGGATGTCTAGCGTGTCCTCCCCAAGTGAGTTGCGAGCAGTGCAGCTGAAGATAACGTAGTCCAGAGCAGCACTCACATTTACAACTCTAACTGTGCTGGTGTGGAAGGAGACCTCCCTCACGGTCCGCTCCTCATACCTGCAGCACGCACGTACACAAACACACACACCCACAGCAAGAGAGATAAATCCTGAGCAGGCAGACAGCAGGGATTGTGATGTCCTGCGGATTGCACTAAGTCCCCCAATTTCACACATCAAAGAAGCATTAAACAGGTATTTGCATAGTGAAAAGCAAGGTATAAAATGCACTAAATCTGGATTCAGTGGTGAAATACCAAGAAATAGCAAAAGAATATATTATATTAGTGGAAAACCTTATCTAATTGTTAGGATTCATTAATATGTAACCAAATGCTGACAGTAGCACTGAAGTTAGTGTGAGTGCTGGAGGGATGTATTTTTGAAGGCCAACCCTGGAAGTTAGCATCTCACTGCTAAACTCTGTCTTGTTTCCCTCGAAAAACAAGACAGATTTTTACATTGGATTTTGGATAATTACAGAAAATAATCTCTACAGAAAACACAAGTTTATGTTTTTTATACGTTTTGTTCAGCAAGATAATCTTCACAAATGAAGCGTGAATGCGATCTGCAAAAGTAAAAAGCTAATGTTAGGCTATTACATTACGCCACAACAAGGCTGTGAAGGCGGACTATAGTCGGCATGACGCTCTGTAGTCTCATTTAGCCGCTTGTTATTAACTGCCTTTTTGATGATATGTAAAAGCTTCAACATTCACGAGAAACACATTTCTCGACGGATTTTATTTGGTAGAACAAAACATTAAAATCTCTATAACTTACGTTAACCACAGACCTTATTTCAGGCATCTAACCAAAAACCCATGAAAAAAACAACAAAAAAAAACATTGACTTCGAGACGAGGGAACCGGAAGTGCAATGATGCCGACTTATCTTGGGGTTTTAGGACAGATTCCTTCAGCACTATATAGTGAAAAAAAATCATTAATAAAATCATTTGAAATAACATAATGCATATTCTTTGACCTGGGGTTTGCAAAGTCCATGCGTACACCATTTCTTTCCCAAGAGAAGTCTACACGAGGAATGCCTTCTGCCCGACACACTACCTCAGCGGTAGAAGTTCCATCCCCTCTACTTGCTACCTTCCTCCACTGGGATCCTTTCTGAAGCTCTGGTTCGACTTCACAAGACAAAATGGGCATGGAGGTTATTCATGCAGAAAGCAGACACAATACAGAGCTAAATGTTCAGGATTTGTTGACAAGCACAAAAACATGTGCATGGAACTCTCCGTGTGTCTTTTGTTCCCTTTTGATATTGACAATAAATGCTACAAACTCACATTGCACTACCAGCTGCACATTTACAGTGGCGGGGGATGCTATGCCATTATTGGCTGTGCACTGGTAAAAACCAGCATGCGCCCGAGTAACATCATGGATGGTCAGAAGGCCAGATTCATCTTCCTGGGTCTCCTGTCCCAACTCCACCTCCCCTTCTCCCTGTGGAAGACAAAGTGAGGGGGGATAAACGGCAGACAGCAGCTCTCCCTCAACGCACACTCCCGTCCTCCTGGGTGAGGGCTCGAGTAGGGGGGGGGCTGTGCGAAAAGCAAGGCAGACAGGTAGACAGTGAGGGAGAGTTGAGCAGGAAACTATCAGGGCTTGAGGTGGGGATGGGATGGGTGTCGGGGGACAGAGAACAGAGAAAGATAATGCCAAGGGTTGGAGAGCTTCAGGGAAAGAGAAAAGGAGGAGCTGTGCAGGTTAAAAGCGGGACACACAGTACTGCCAGAGGGGTGGGTTAGACCGGAGAGGGCATCAGTAGATACAGAGACCACGTCACATTGACGAATGTGCCCTTTAGTCATGCAGCAGTAATGAAAGCTATTTTTCTGGATTTACTCTGTGTGTGGAGCAGGAAGAGGTGGGGTGGAAGGATAGTAAGAGCCAGTGAAATATGGTGCATCTGTGCATTTAGAAAGGCCAGTGATAAACGGTAGGAACAGACAAAATAATAGAAAGCAAGCCAGATAAATGAAAGATAATTCAGGGGATGACTGTGTTTCTCTGTATATGTATCCAAGCTCTCACCAGCCATTTCCAGGTGAACATGTCGGATATAATGGGGTTGGCATCTGCCTCACATATCAGGTCTGCCGTTTCCCCCAGGTTCACTACCACAGGGTCTTTCTTTGCCTTGACACTGGGAGCATCTGAGAGTAAGAAAAAGGGACAAGGCTAAGGCAGGACCAAAGGTTAACATGCCAACTTGGGACAAATCATTTGCCAACCCATTAAACAGGTATGCTGCTTTGCTATAATTACTCTTACACTTTTTCGCCTTTGAACTTGTTCATAACCCTGTCTTATTTGGCCTCTGTGTTTCACATACAATGCCATTAATGCTTCCGCAACCAAACTGAGAATTAGTCATTTGAACCAGAAGGCCCTCGACTGAAAGCACATTCTTCATTAAGTCTTCTCTCATTCCTGATTCCATGGTTCCTCTTCTTGTCAATATCCGCCCCTAACTCACAAGCTTTTTATACTTCCCATGGGTGCCGTGTACAATAAGGCCATTAGTGCCTACTTGTCGAAACTTATGTTCACACTTGAAGAACAGTGGGAAACACTAGAGAGACGCAGACCTCTGGGTTGGTGAGATCCACCCATGTTGGCCTGCTAACCGAGACCGACATTGTTAAGTGGGCTACACCGCCACCCATAAAAGCTAGTACAATCCTCCATACATAATGAATATCTACAACTGTCAAGCCCAGTCGGATCAGGACGGCAGAATCCATTAGGCTTGTACCATGGGCTTTAGTGAAGCAGGCAGACCTACATTTCCAACACTACCATTATTAAATCATCAGTATCGGGGCAGAGGGCCTGGAGCTCAAGGCTGGGCCTGGGGCAGCAGAGAAGCACAGCCTTGCATGGAGGCCTAATGAATGTGGCATGTTTGCTGGGTAGGGGCTGAAAGTCAATGCTGATATGTGTCCGTGTGTGTGGATGCACTGAAAGTTCTGATACTTGGCAGCTTTAGACAATTTCAAAAAACATGTAAGAAGCCAACAAATTAAAATCTAAAGCACAAAATGGATAATGCTATGCAGTAAAAAGTCTGCTCATTCTCTGTAAAGGTAGAAGGCTATTCAACATGATGTGGATGACTTTGTGACCGACAGCGCCCAAAGGTACGAAATGAAAAAAAAAGTGTGATAAATCATGAATGGATGGAAGTAAAATAATGTTAAAAAATAAAGTACTGGTTCTATATTTTCTCTTACATCCTTCCTCTCATTTTCATCTCATTTTCTATTGTATTATTTTTCCTCTTGTATGTGCATTGGGGTACTTTAATGAATCCATAGGAATTATTGTAAATAATTAAACTTGCTTTCAGAGGTAACTCTACAAAAATTATCAAAACACATGGGAGGAAATGCAGTCATGGTGCAGCTGCCACCCATCTCATTGTTAATACTTGCAGTAAAAACTGTGAATGTTTAAATTTATTTGCCTTCAACATTAAATACAAAAAACATGTGTGCAGCCACAAGGATGCATGTAGGTCCTTACACTGAACGTCCAGCATAATGGAGATTTGGTTGACACCCTCATCATTTGTACACTTGACCTTGTAAACTCCGGCATCTTTCCTCGTCACATTCTTGATCTCCAGTGAGTTCTCGTCTGACCAGTGGTAGCGCAGATACCCCTCTTTCCAAAAACATGGAAAGACACACACACACACAGATGCAAAACAACAGTAAATTAAGTATTCATTACATGCTCATCAGATGTGTGTCCTCTGGCCACTGGTCTCTAAGTGACATCTAATCCTGCATTATTGATTGGCCTGGCTGGATTCCCACATCAAGCCAACAATAGGCTACGTGAGAGACACCTCCTGTACCACAGCAGTCAAAATGTAATAGGTAGGTTTCCACATTCCCGATACAGTCAAATTATGGTGGGGGCTGCGTATGATGGAGCAAACAGAGGGAACAGAGAAAGAGCGTGGGTGCAGTAGGGCCCTGATGACACTGGCCTGGAGGAGTAGCCAGGTTTAGAACTGTTGTGTTGTATTCAGGGAGACAGCAAATCTCATTTAGACTGCATACATTAGACCCATAATGAGAATCACATTTGGCAGGGTCCCATGCTGGCTAACCTGCCATGTTTTATTCAGACCCTGAATGGCAGAGCTGAGTGCTTACTTGCTGGCTCAGCTCAACTAGGACCTGGTTTATAAAGCCATCACACAGCCCTGGATCACCTTTGACCAGCTTCTCCCTGTGGTGCAGCCAAATACAGAAGACCTCCTCTGGGTTAGCTGAGACCAGCAGTGGGATGGCTGCCATGTCATCCTCCACCACCTGGACCTGCACTGGCTGCTCTGGGCTGAACTCTGGTGGGTCTGACACAGAAACAGCAAGCAAAGTCAGCTACAGTAAGTTGGATTTACTCCAAAAATACATGTTGCAGATGCATGAATACAAACTCCAGCACACAATGACAAGAACCAGCGAGAGAGAATACAAAGACACACAAAACATGTTGAGCATGAAAGCCGAAAGAGACACTAATGAGAGTCAAACCAGTAGAAAGTCGACATCCCACCAATAATTCCAGATCTAACCAACTTCACATACTTAGACAACAGGGGAGTAAGGCAACGCGCGACTGAGAGGGACAGGCATTAAAACAACGAGTGACAGTACTGTTGTCCAACTGCAGCTCGGCACAAACACACAGTGACATTCCTTCATGCTCATACACAGTACCAAGCTTTGAAGCAGCGGCTGGCTGCTGCTGCCTGTGAAATGGCATCAAAGACAAACATGGCCATGCAGCAAAGCAAATGCACAATTAGGACACACTGCCACAGAGCTCAACAGACCCACAAATCGCAACAAAAGGCTTTTAGTAAACAAAAAACACACACATACTATAAGCTGACATTTCTGTGCAAAAGTACACCGGTAAAGCAGCTTACGTCGGCATCATCATGGATCATCATTATGCATCCTTTAAGATTTATGCAAACCACATCTCCTGGTCAATCGCCAAGATGAAAGAAGGAAACGAACCAGGAAAGAAAGAAACACACAAACGATTCACCTTATACTTACAAAGCACATTGAGTTTGAAGAATGTGTTAGCCCCCTCTGCCAGCACAGGGCTGTAGGCCTGGCAAATGACCCTCTGGTTGTGATACTGTGAGCTCAGATTCAGGGATAGAGAACTGTGCAGTGATACGCCACCAAACTGAGCACTCCTGGGTGGCTGCTCCACTCCCTGGAACCTAGTACACAAATTGCATTCAGCAAAACCAATCAACGGGAGAGTTCAAGTTCACCTCAATCAGACTCATTATGACACAAAGTTAGCCATATCATGTCCTTATCAACGTGTGTTATTATATACGTGTGTCTGCCCATGCTCCAGGATATGTTGGCCTTGGGGTTACTGCTTCCAGCCTGGCACTCCAGAGTTAACACCTGGCCCCGACGCAGCTCCTCCTGTTTGGTTGAAATCTTCATACTTACTGCTGTAACTGGAGAACCATGGAGAAAACAAGAAAACACAATCCTTACTCACTGACAATATCAAGATGAAGAGTGCAAAATGATGTAACAAAAAATCTGTGTGAATGGGTTTATATCAAATGCATTTATCTTATATTGTGCTTTTCTCTCAGCTGAGTTAGAGTGGAGTAAAGCTCTGTCTGTGTGTATGTGTTCCATCTCCCTTCCAACTCACAGTGAACCATGAGCTTCGTGCGGGCAGAGATAGTCTTCTTTGCCTTATTTGTGGCATCGCAGCGGTAGATGGCCATGTTGTCACTTGCCGTCAGGACCAGGACCAGTTCTCGAGCCACACCCCGATCAAAGCACACCTGCTTCGGTGCATCAGTCACAGCCTTTCTGTTCTGAAACAGGAAGGAAAGGTTTTACACAGAGAAGTGTATGCACTCTAGACATACTGAGCAACACACACATACAGACAGACATGCACTGACAGAGCACACTAACCTTGAACCAAGTCAGAGTCCCAGTGGGATTCCCGCCAGTTGAGAAGCAGATGAGACGGACCGTGGTCCCTGAACGAAGGGGGACATCTTGAGGAGGAGTATCGAGCCACACCTTTTGAGGGGGATCTGTTGTAAAAAGATCAACAAGAGTTTGAAATATATTCAATATTTTCTAAATGTTAGTCCCATTTGGTTACCATACATGTTTTACAGACCAGCTGTTTATACTGTATTTAGTGAGTAGTTTAGTTTTTCAAACAGTCATACAGAATATTTTCAATTAAAAAATCTGTACAGAAAACATTTCCTCTAACACAAATATGACAAAGCACACCCATGAAAATAGTTGCACTTCCTGTTTCAATAATTCCAATTGCCCCTTTTGCGTTTCTTGACATTCAGCTATTGAATTAATTGTAATAAAAAATATATAAAATGAATTGGACTCCTCTTGAACCATGATGGATATGTTTTATGATAAGATGTAGAAAAAAAGTGGTACCAAATCAAAATGTCCTTTTCCTTGGTGATTTCTTATGCTGGTTATGTCTACCAAAAAAGAACATTTAAATAAACTACACTTATGCTGACTCACAATAGACATCAAGTGTGGTGATCTGGGACTTGGAGAAGTGTGTGCCCTTGTTGAAAGCCTCACAGGTGAGTTTCAGTCCATCCTCTTTCCGGGAGACCGTGTGGGTCATGTTGGACATGGTTGTCATCCCACCATTGTCTCCCTACAGACACAACGCACATATGACAGTTCAGTCAGGGGACAGACACCCTTTGTCTCTGGCATTCTCAGTCTTAGGAGAGAGGGGGAAAGATCTGGAAGAAAAACAACCCGCACTGGCTTGTCTTGGCGAATACAGATGGCAAATTAGCTGCTGTAATGACTGATGTTGTGCATGGCCTCTGATAAATAAGCATATTCATCTGACTCTCCTGCTTTGCATACTGTTATAAATTGAGCAAAGCACCACTTTGCACCTGCCTGATAGTGGTCATGCCTGTGCAGCACATCTGGTTATTAAAGCCATTATTGTGGTGATTACTGTAAAAGCCACATTCAGAAAGACTAACAAAGACACTGGACAGGAGCGTCAGTCTTCATTAACCTCACACTGTTTCAGATGCATTAAAGCTCACACACAGCCCACTGAATGCCTTGTGTAAGATCAAATGAAAATGCTGCTGCCAGATGAATAAAGAGCTTGGTTAATAACGCTCATCTTCTGTGTCAGCTTTTATTCACTTTGATCTTATTAACATACACAAAAGAGGAGAGGAGTTGCAGAATACTCTGTTTAGAATTGGCTACCGATTAATTTGCAAAGCTGCAGCAGGTCTATTCTGACGCACTGCTCATGGTCATACCATTTTCTTTCATCTATTAAGGTTGACGAGGTCACATTTCATTTAGAAAATGTTATTTTAGTTTACTAGGATGTTGGTACCCCAAAGACAAGCTTGACTGAGGGGCAATGCTTTTGCCTTGTGTTCACAAAAAATAAACAAAAATGTACCTTTTTCGTTTTTCTCTTTAAACCGACCAGCATGATCACCATTACATCTCAATGTCTACACTGGCTCTTTTTTCCCCCCTGCAGTCTACCGGCTTAGACAGATAGACTTCAACCTTGACTTATTGTGTGACGTGTAGTCCCACCTCTTCCATAGTTGCAACAGTGGAGTTGAGCTCCTTGTAGCCGAGCCACCAGCGAATCTGGACAGGCGGATTACTGGAGGTGGCATAGCAGCTCAGACTCAAGTCCTGCCCCTCAACAGCTGTGAACGAACCCAACAGAGTCACCTCTGCGGGCTCAACTGTTGTACACGCACACACATAGGCAAACATACAAAGACAAGTCAGTACAAATATCGCCCATGATTAATACATTCAACACCTATTCTGATCACAGTGGCAGTGCAACTATTTTTGGATGTGAAACATAGAGATGTATCAAGGGGTGAGACGGAAAAATCACTTTGAGTGGCAACTTGTTTTCTCAGGAGGTTTTCAGTGTGGTTTCTAAAGTCTGCTTCGTTTTAACCACAGGGGGAGACGGGGTACAATAGCTGCGGGCAAAGTTATGCAGCTGCATAAAGCCTTCAGGGGAATACAAAGAATGGGGACTGTGCTGGCAGACATGGGGAAGGAGGGGTCATGTATGTACATCTTCACACTCATTTGTGTCTATCCCACATGAAACACAGAATGGGATGCATTTGTGCATGCCACACACACACACACACACACACACACACACACACACACACAGACTGTTGAAATTAAGCAGGTGCCATGAGGTAAAAGAGGCATATTCATATTTCACCAGTGACGTTTTTTCTGTGCCCTCCAGCTTTTGCCAGTGCCTGGAGCGCAGTCAGGCAGTCAGCAGCTCATTTTCAACATCCCTGAATGGATGACTATGAGGCATGGCACACGGGGTCTGTTGGGGGCCTTGTGAGGAAAGGAGGGGCACTGGAGTAACTTCAGCCACCTTTACATAGCATGAGTAAAATATTTCTGCCTAATTTAAAGCATATTTACATAAAATAGGCGCATCAATCACACAACATTTAAAGCTCTGACTTGGCATTGTCTGGCTCTGTAGTGGAAATCAGGCTATCGTTAGACTCAATGCGCCAAGGCTGCTAAATTTTAATTCTGTATTTGTTTTATTGTTGCTGAAACAAACATTTTATATTCAGAGAGAAAATTATAATCTATTAACCATGGGCGTTACTATCGCACAAAGTGTAGGCTTTACCGCCTCAGGATTGTGCATTGAAGCAATTCAGCTGAATTAATGCAGCAGCTATGAAAGAGCATGCATTGATACTAATCTGGAGGCAGACAGAAATATGGGCTGTAGCCATAACAACCATTAGTTTCATTAATGATATTAGTACTAAAAATTTTGCTGGGACAGCAAAAGAGTTGGTTTTGGAGGCAAGACTCTTATTATATTCCTTTGCCTCATGTCCATATCCTAAATTATCCATTGCTGCAAGTCCTGCCAAGGCTTCAGCGCTGTGCACTATATTGAGCACTATTTTTACTCACAGAGCACAGTGATTTTGCGGCTGGCAGACAGAGGGGACAGGGACACCAGATTGCTGCTCTCACAGCACACCACTGCCTGGTTGTCTGCTGGGGTGATCTTCAGGTTGAGGACGCTTCTGGACCTCTGCGCTACAACATCTGCTTCCCAAGTCATGGACAGAACTTCTCCATTCTGACACACAGATGAAAGCATGCAATTGGAAAAGGCAACATCAAGAATGTTTGGTTAATTGCACTGTCCCATATGGTGCAGTGAAGGAAGTACAGAGGCGACACATATTGTGATACTTTCACTGCAAGTTGTTAAACTACAGTAAAATAGCTCATTTTGTCAGTGTGACAGTGTGTTACAAAGCCTCCTTAACAGATGGTGCTGAAGATTTACCTTGGTCCAGTGGAGAGACGCTAGAGGGTTTCCACCATGAGACACACACTCCAACACGAGCGTTCTCCCCTCTTTGACTTCCTCTCTCTCCAGACCTACGATAACTGGAGGCTGAGGTGGGACTGCCAGGAAAAAAGAGACAAAAATGAAAATGGACTTGACAAAGGGGAATGGCATAGAGGGCGAGAGAAAACGGAGGAGAAAAGGGTGAGGGAAAAGAAAGGATGTAGTAACTCAGGGTAACAGGGATGCAGCGTGATAGTATAACATAAAAAAGAAACTGCAGTGCAATGAGAACACTCTTGGCAATTGAGTAGGGAGCATCCGTATTTGTTGAGACGGGGCCAATAAATTGGGCACATTCAACATGACTGTGGGATAAGAGGTCCAGATCTGATGAAAGTATTAAGTATTAAGGGAGCAGTGAGCTGGATCACGTCCATAAAGCAAAAATAACAGATGTTCAAACAGTAATAAGGCAATGTGAAATATGAATAAATTACAGCCCCCTTGAATGAAATATATGCAGTAAATAGAGGACAGGCCTTTGTTATTGCTGCAATCAGTTTCAGAGAGCAGGCTGCAGACCCTGAGCCAGCGTGACAAATTGCCACCTTGCTAACAATCTGGCTGGCGGAAAATGGCCACCGCGCTGGCTTTGATGGGCTGGCATGCTGAGTAAGACTGCAGCGGTGGTCCCAAGTTCTGCAACATTAGCACTTAGCACAGAGCCCATGTTGTTTAATACAGAGCAGACAGACAAAGAGGAAGGGAGGAGTGCGCACAGTTATTGGTGGTTGTTAAAACAGCAGCAGCGGCGTCTAATGTGGAGAAGTATAGATAGAGACAACGTTAAGGTGTGTAGTCAGCCTGTGGATAATACGGCAGCTGAGGTGGAGGGAGCGCTTACACTGCTGAAGGTGTCAGCAGCCCTGCTCCACTTTAATCAACAACATGATTTAGGCTTGGGAGAAGCAGGTGGGTAGACTCTTAGGCCTAAACAATCAATTACCTTAACTGATCAACAGAGAAGAAAATACTAAACCAACTGTAGAGAACAGTAGCTGCGGTGTCACACTGTATGTGCATGCAGCAACAATGGCTTTCATTGTTGCCTCGCCAAATGAGAGGGGAAAAAAATGCCAAATGTAATGAGACCCAGAGTGTCAACTCACTTTTGTGTGCTGCAGTAACAATTTTATTATATAATGTTGCACGGTTTGTGATAATAACATAAAAGAAAAAGCCACAGAAACTGCCTCCCCTTCTGCCTCGGTGGATTCTAAATTTAATTTGAGCTGATGAGCACAAAAGTTGCTGGGTTAGTTCTGTAGGATTCATTATTATTAACTGCTGTGGCTTTAGCTTTCCTTATTACTTATTAAAAAGTTTAACAATTCAGTACTTGAAGCCTCACTGAAACTATCCATCTCAGTTTGTCTAATAATTGGTTTATCTGTTTTGGTTAACATTGGGGAAATAAGACTAAGGATAGATCATTTAAAGATTACAGAAAAAAATCATTAAATCTAAAGTAAACTCATTCAAATTTAATTGCAGGGTTGGTGTTTGATTCTATGCTGCTAGCCACCACTGTAAGAAACGCTTACATGGTTTTACAGTACGAAACGCCTTCGACCTCCTGCTTGGTGATATCAATCTCAGCCCACCAGGGGCAGTCTTGTGAACTGGAGGCAGTCAAAGTGATGCTGTCTTGAAGTAGGTGTGAGTTTGCCTTCAGGTTGAATGTTTCTCCTTGGACCACTAACACAGACTGAGTGCAAAAGGCCGGATACCCTTGGGTCTCCCTGAGGTTGGGTTCCTGTGTGGTTGTGTGTGTTTGTACTCTGTGTTTCTTTTTTAAGAGAGGGGGTGTTGACTGTCAGGTTACAGACAGGTTGAGACACTCACAGTACACGCTCATGGTCATTGTGGTCTCCGCAGGCCGGAAAAGGGCGGGGTTCTTGGCACAACATGCCAGCTGCCTCCCGTTATCAGAGCTCAGAGCGGTGACCCTTTGGGAGGTAACAGAAAGACAAACAAAATGAGAAGGATAAAAGACAGGAAGTTTATATTGAGCCATATAAAGTGCTAAAGCTCAGAATGTTTCCCACTTAAGTAAAAGTATAGAAGTCCTATCAGTAAAATGTGCTTCTGCATCAAAAGTACTTGTTAAATTGCAAATGGTGATGCATGAAAATGTTGTAGCTGGTAGAGGTGCAGCTCATTTTCACTACTTTCTATACAGTTTGGTAGTTTAGTAGTTTAGTGGTTCCCAATCTAGGAGTCACAAGATACGTCCCAGGTGTCATGAGATGATTAATGGGGTAGAAAAGAAGAACAAACTGAGTTCTGGTACACAAATGTAGTCATTTTTCTTTTCTTTTTTAAAAGATTTTTTTCTGGGGTTTGTGCTTTATTGGATAGCGATAGCTTGGAGAGAAACAAGAAAGGCAGAGGGCAAAGAGAAGACATGCAGGAAAGGGCCAGGGCTGGAATCAAAGACATGATTTTTAAGGTCGCTTTTTAAGGTGTTACAACCAGAAAAACATTGTCAACCACTTGTGCAAATATGTGTTGTAATTTATTGGATTATCATGTGTTTTTTCCCCCCTTAAGTTTCTTAATTTGAAACAATAGGCGTCAGATAGTCGAGACTGAAGAGTGTAGTGTAATATTTACTTCTGAAATTAAGTTAAGTAGAAGTACTAAGTAGCATAAAATGGAAATATTGAAGTAAAGTACAAGCAGCTCACAAATGCACTTTGTGATGTACATTGAAAGATCCACTATGGAGTGGATTTATTCTGAGCCTAGTTTACTTTCTCAGTTCATGTCTTCTATATCAAATTACACCACAATGTCAACCGTAATAATCACACATGGCCCACCGCTGTGTACGCTCAGTGTGAATATGAGGAAGGCGCATCAATATTGCTGAAGACCTTGGCTGTTCTGCAATAGAGCTGAACAATGTTGCAGCTCCTCAGTACCAATGTTATCTCAGGATATGACAAGAGGTTATTATCTTTGACACAGAGGAGACAAGCAGGATTAAAGTAATCTATGGCCCTGTTTAATGTATAGACACCTGGCGAACCGGCAAGGATCGGATCCGTCTTGCTGCCGGAATGTAATTTTGTGCATTTGACGGAAGCTAATTCAATCCCACAGTGCCAAGTAACAGCTCGCTGTGTGCAGAAATTCATTGTACTCACTAAGACAGAGGGAGAATATAAGAGCGGGCTGAAAACAAGGGAAACAGAAGACAAAGACAGACTTGGAGAGATTGAGCAAGTTGGTGAGGAGAATGAGTCTGGCAGGCGGCGAACACATACGTTACTTCAGCATGCGTGTTCAGGAGCTTATCCTTTGAGCCAGACATGGTGAAAGACTCTGCACCTGTCAGCTCGACTCCATCTAAAGACACAATGGAGGGGGGGGGGCACAAAAAAGGGGAATACTAAGTGTAAATTTGTTCATGTGAAACAAAGACATCAGTATTATTCTTGTGTGGAAATGTAAATACTGAAATATGATGAACATGTGTTCTGTTCTGTGTGTATAGTGTGCATCTGTTTGCGGTACAGTAACAGTATATGCCACTGTCTTAACCTGTCTTTGTACTGAAATCAAATCAGTGCTGAGATTACAAATGAGAAAAACAAAACTAACTGAACACAATAAAGATGTACAGAACAAATTCCCACCAAGACAAAACAATACAACAACTCTCCCTCTCTGTACTATACAGTAATTTACTTTAGGTGTGACGGGGGAGCAAAAGGCAAAAAATGGAAATATTGCAGCTGTTTTCGAAAACAACTACGAACTTGAATACATTCTCTGTATGTGCAATTTGAAAGTCAGTGGAAATTCAAATGTTCAGGCTATTTCCTCCCACACAAGAGTTTGCTCCCCCTTCAACTCTGCTATTCGAAGACTATGAAACAAGAGATCTTTAGTGGACAATGCTTTTATGTTTAAATATTCAGGTTGTAACCTATAGAGATCCCAGAATGTAGGGTATCAGAAAGGCTGTTGCCCTTTGTTCTAAGCTGTCAAGTTGACCCTCTCTGTCACATTTAGTGCTGTTGAACGGGGTGACTCACCTTTGTATAGTGTGATTTCAGCCACTGGCTTTGCGTCAGGGGCGATACAGGTGACGGCGTACTTCTCCCCGGCCACCCAAGGTGTTTCCATGTCCACCTCAAAGTATGGCTCGGATGGAGGAACTGAATGAGAGAAACAACAGCTCCGGTATAATATGTATCACATAATGAACCTAATATTTGTCACACTAATCTTTGGCTAGGGGAAGCAAGCGCTATCACAGATGGATATTAGCTCATGCAATGATATGATAATAAGCGCTTGCAACATTTGGGAGTGACTGGAATGTCACGCTGTCAGCTTTTGAGCGATTTACTACAGCAAAGTTAGATGTGCTGTTGAGTTAGAATACAAAATGTGGACAAGAAGAGATGAAATAGTGATGAAACCGATCTAGTGCTAATGTATCATAGCAAACACCAAACACTTCTCTTCTCAGATCACCCCCAAGCTAAATTTGTGCTTTTTGGACTGATCAAAGCAGTTTTCACTTCTCCACTGTTCTACTCTACAATCCTTTTATCTGACCATAAATAGGAAAAAAATAACACAGCTTTTAACACAAGGGACCGGAAATTGTTTGGCAGTAAAATTGGGAAATCTGTCACCAACTAACTATCAAAGAGATTTCTGCACTTTTGCGAGTCGCTCTTCACCAAGACTATCGGTTCAATCATGCAGACGCTACAGAAACCTACTGTGCCAGCTTTTAGCGAGTGGGTGAGCCAGTAGAATTACAAACTAAGGTTACTGTTAAGGTTGTTTTCTTTCATCAGAGATCAAGTGCAAAGGCTGCCTGAGTTCAGAGACAGAACGGGGAATTGGTACAGGATGGATACATGTGGTGTGTGTGTGAGAGAGACATGAAAGACTCCTGCAGAGAAGTAAAGAGATATGGCAAGAATAAAAAAGTGAGTGTAAGACAAGCTGCAGAAGAGAGCAGAGGCAGAAGGATAGCTGCTGCTGAATTCAGAGGCAAATCCACAGGCTAATGTGCGTGTAAACGGCTGGACCACAACCAAACCAGTCAGCCATTCAGCTCCTCTCCATCTCTGTGGGACATACAATCAATCCCTGGCCACTAGGAGGAGCTGTTGCTGTGTGCAGAGTTGCCCATTGGCTCCAGTCTGCTATTGAGACAGATGAGATGTGGCTGCAGCTTCAAACTGATTTAAAAGAAGCAATTGAATCTGTGTGGACTGTGATGGGTTACCCAGAGCACTGCAGAGGCGCACGCTGCAATAATGAGATGCATTTGTTTGTTTCCCCCCCCCCTCTTCCCTGAGAAGATGACTGGGCCATGCATCTATTGACAGCCCCTGCACTCTCAATCTACTAAGGCCCGCATGATCCAACATAGGCGCATCACTTGTTGTGCTAGAGTAGTGTCTGGCAGCCTAACAAATCCTACAATAAGAAGAATGATATGTTAGCAAATGAGCCAGGCTGGTATCTAATTTTTTCCTCGCTCGCTCATGCTGGCCCCGCTCCTCTTATCTCTCATTCATTCCATCATCCCTCTCGAGCAGCCCGAGCCCATTCCTCTCTCCCCACACTATCATTCTTGACCACTGCAGTTAAACTGCAGAAGTGAGGAGGAAGGTGTGTCCCGGCCATCCATCACATCTGCAAACCATGTGACCCAATAAGCCCAGTCAGGATGATTATTTGTACGAATGTAATAGCATGTGTGGACAACAACAAAACACTCTCTATTCAATTTACTAGACATGCACTCAGAGCAAAAAAAAAACCGACAGCGAACAAGCTGTTCTTTAAATTAACTCTTTCTGCCCCTTCTTTGTCTAATTGCCTGTCGGCTTTGTGATGTTGTCTCTCTCTCTCTCTCTCTCTCTCTCTCTCTCTCTCTCTCTCTCTCT